TGATGAGCATCTGTGTTGATCTAAACTCACAAAACAAAGCACTGAAGAACTGGAGGCATCTGGCCAACGCACTGCAGGTTCCCAGGGACACGTACACGCATTTTAACCCACAGCAGCCCAAGAGTCCTACTAAAGAGTTGTTAGATTGGATCTCTACATCTAAGAGTGATCTAAAAGTAGGTCAGCTTTGTGATGCTCTGGAAAGCATCGGGCGCAATGATGTAGTTAGAGACTTAAGGAATTACTTTGAACAGCGTCCCGCTGGGAACTAAGCTCTATGGACGGATCAAAGTTATTTTGTGAACCAGTCAAGAGCCCACATGGCTTTCAAGTGGAAAAGCAACGTGGAGGAAGGAGACAGAACTACTTCATCTGCTGTGATGGATTGAAGGCTGAGAGAAAATAATGTGCAAGTGCGAAAAACGACTACTCGAACATCGAAAGAAACTGAGATTAACCTGATTTCCTTGAAATCACATCCAATCGAATAAGACGGGGTTAACCTTCGGAACAAGGTTACGAGACCCTAAGAAAGTTAGAATGTTACGACGGGTGGTTTTCATTCAGTGAAGGAAGGAGTATTTTTGGCTCTATAAATACAAAACAGAAAACTGAGGCTTCTTCAGAATAACGATAAGGCCGAAAGTTAAATGCGTGAAACGCATGACTATTGGATCATCTAACTTTATCTCACATTGAAAAATGAAGTAGCTAGTGTTTCGATTTATTTTTATCATATCCAATGGCAAATGTATCTTAATGGAAAGAACTGTGACTTAGTAGAAGCAACGAATTCTGTTATCCTTGGGATCACAGTCGCAAAAGAGCTTTAACAAGAGTTTTTGTATGTAAAGAAAGATAAGTTTTAAACAGAATAAGGTCTTAACTATCTGAGATGGCAAACCCATTTCATTCCTGTCGTTTAGAACTAACATTTTTGTGGTTGAAATGGTACAGTTTCCATTTGAGTGATGAGACAAATTTCTTACCAAAAAATATGAACATGAAAAGATTGACAAAGTGAACAAATATCTACGTTCCTACCCTGAGAAGGGCTGGCTTTTTTTTGCCTACTTACACCACTCTTAAGGTCGATGCCTTAATCGTCGGAGCATGATGGGATAACCATGGGAACGAGTTTGTTGGGCTAGTTTGTAAAACCTAAGAAAGTTTTCCTGTGACAATGTAGTGAACGACAGATTGATTTCAAATAAAAATTAGATTTTGTCAAAAGCACCAGATGTTTTATGCTCGTCCCTCCTTCAGAATCAAAATGGTTCCTAACGTCTAACTTAGCGTAGGCCACGTTAATGAGACTACTAGTCAAACTATAGAAAGTGGAAAAAGAATTCTATCCAGATTTGTTGGGACCGAACGAGGAACCCTTCCAAGATCGTTGGCGAAAATCCCAAAAAAGAGCAAACTAGCATAATGAGGGGTCACAGGAGTTATTGAAACATGTATTTCCCTAATAGCGGACCAGATTTGAGGCAAAGCCAACCAAATTTCTCTCAAAGTCATTAAAAGATCTGGAGAATAAATAGTTTCCCAACTGTTCTTGACACCCCTATATTTATAAGGGGGGTTAGTTTCTAAAGAAACTGTGATGATGCGTTGTAGGGGGTGTCACAAGATAAATTTGTTTTCATCCACAGAATTGTGTATTAAAGCAAATTTAATGTAAATTGGCCAACGTAAAGAGTTTTTAAAGCTGACGTTTCAAGCGTTAGCCCTTCGTCAGTGTTTCGCTCTGACAAAGGCTATTGCTCGAAACGTCAGCTTAAGTTCATGGACACTTCCTTCTGCTGAGGAAATTTTTTGGTCTGAAAATAGTTTTTGTCTTTTCATTATGTGCACTCCCTTCCAAAAAAACAATGGTCGCTACCCCATTCATGTTCCATCAGCAACTGACAAGAACTACACGCAGATACCACGGTGAGTGATGGTTTTGGTGGAGTACCGATCTCCGCGTATTAAGATAAATTTAAAAAAAATTCACGAATGTGTTGAATATCCTCACAAGTAGTAAGAGAGGGACTTAATAGAAACGGCCACAAAATGCTTCTTTTCGAAGCAGAATAGGTGTCATTTATATATATTCATAGTTTTATAAGAAAATCTTGCAGATTGAATGAACGCTGCATGAATTTTTGGGCGGCTTTCACGAATGGTGTAACGCCCCACCAAGCCAACATCTAGCCATAAAATACCCAGATGGATGTCCGTGTAACTTCCAAAGGTTTCTCGCAAACCTGAGTGATCTTGTCCGTGCGAACGAACGAGCATATTTCCGGCCCAAATAAAGGCTATTTTGTTTATTATCCTTCAAATATTTTGCAAATTAGGGAAAAAAGTGTTTACGGACAGTTAACCGTTCACTGCGTGGGATATTCACTTTTCAGTACTCTCTGGGAATAGTACGATTTTATGAACACAAAAACATGTCCTCTCTTTTTCGAAAACCACAAAACGCTCTCTTATCTTAAATTAATCTAAAACAAAGACTTACCGTCTCGGACGTAGAGCTTGAAAATTAGGAAATATCAATTGGAGTGTATCCTCGATTGTGATCCATCAAATATTTTTGTCGCGCGCTACTGGTTTAAACGCATTACGTTAACAAATACTCCCCAGTTAAAACCGAGGGATATCTTGGGATATCACCCAAGTAATGCTCCCCAAATTTCAAACCTTTCGTCCTATACGATAAGTCTTCGTATATAATTAAATTCAAGATGGGAACGTTTTATGATTGTTACAAAAGAAAGGAAATATTTATTTATTCATAAAGTCGCACTAGAGAACACTCAACAGAAAACATCCCACGTAGAAAACAGTAGGCTTTTCGTAAAAAAAGTTTTCACTCGCGTTGCAAAATATGTGAACACAATAGCCTCTATTTTGCGCGAAAATATGGTGGCATATTTGTCCTTGGACATTATCTGTTGCTCGAGGCTCACTTCCTTCCTCGGTCATCGATTAAATTCTTTCCTTGAATTTTTCCCCTGGACGTTTTTTAAAGAGAACGTGGATATCGATGAAAAATAACTGTTCCTCATCATTAAAAGTAAATTTAAAACAATTTTTTCTCATTTTTAGTTCCCTGTTCCCGCTTTTAGGAACATCCGCTTAACGAGCGTGAAGCGAAAGCGCTGGTAGATTTTCAAAATTCAATTACTTTACCTGTAGTTTCTGAAATACGTTAATACATGACCCAAATAATAGTAATGGACAATGATAACAAACAAGGTAAATGAAAATCGAACGAAAAAAGGACAGCAAGAAAATACTTGACTGTTAGGATACTTGTGCGAAACGGTATAGAGACACTCTCTGGGAAAATTTGACAAATTGGCGCGAAACTTATTTTAATATGATAATGTGTGCGGAGATTGTACACCAGGAAACCGCTGAAAGACGTTGCAACAAGACCCATTATGAACCCTGGTCAATTCTAGTTTCAGCTACTATATGCATACTGGCAGGAGACACATGCAGCCATCGGCTGCCAATTTTTGTATTACGCAAAAACACTTTTGTCAGCACCCTGAAGTTTTGGATGGGACTAAAAAAGTTGGAAAAATTTCCAATGTTAATTAAAAAATTGGAAAACCTTCCGATGTTAGTAAAAGCTTGGAAAAAAATTTTGATGTCGGTAACAGAAAATCTTAACCGATGGATACACCAACAACTATAACACGACGGAATTCGCTGTAACTTGGTAGCGTCCTTAAATACCTTCACGAAATTCATTGATCTAGAAACAATTATACTTATTTGGGAACGTCACTGGCTGGTAAATGTTCTCATTTGTTGATTTCCTTTATAATTGTCATCATCGTCCTACCATAAAATCAGCGGAGTAATTTTTAGTAATAACCTCTGAAAAGCTGTTCATTAAACGTATAACTACAAATCAGGGAATGACCCGTACAGCTCGCGAGCCGCACATGTACGCATCGAGGACCTATATTTTGTACAGATTGGAGTTGCCCGGGCCTGGGAGTGGGAGTTTCCCCTGGATGAATCGTACGCGAAATGCATTGTGGTCGGTCGGCCACGCAACTGAAGGCGGAAGAGAAGGGCAAATGCGTGTAAGAGTCAACTATGGATGGAATGGCATACACAGATACGCGGGATAAAGAGAAGAAAAAAGAGCAATGGCTGCTAGGAGTATGTCGAATTATAAGGAAAGGAACCGGTCGGAGGCCAGATGCAACTCGAGGTTCTGGCTTCCTGGTTAAAGATCTGATCATTCCTGACCCAGTCAGTAATAGCAACATAAGCTATCAGTATTGTCTCATAACAACCACTCAAGTCATCAACGATGCTAAACATTCCTTGGAAAATTGTTATTTGGAGTTTAAAAAGTTAAATTCAGAGGTCAAAAGGGTTCCACTACACAAAATCGCAAATCTACAGGAAGCCTTACGAACTCGTAACTTGGTCTTTATTCCCATAAAGCCCCCCAGTAGATCCCAAGAGAAGGAGAGCATTTTCACATATCGACCATTCAAGGTGACCAACGTAAATCGAAGTGCATCGAATGATTTATTGTGTGTTTTCGTGAAGGACAAAGATAAGTCTTTTGATGTGATAGACCTGGAAATTCAGCGGAGAATTGAACAAATCTCTCACATGATTAATTTCCAAGTCATAGAAGACCTTGGCGTAAAACCTTTAACGACACACTCAGAACTCACTCGCATCGCAAACTATAAGCCAGATGGTGGTGTGATCTTGGAGCGTCGAGAAAACCAAGACAACAAGTTTATTGCGGTTGGATGCCTTGATTTTGCTGACGACGAATCCATATGTCCTGTCTTCTTCCCTCTCTCTCCTACAGGTATGTTCAATATAAGATCTTCGATACGTTCCTCACATTCTCTGTCTTACCTATGATGAACCTACTTTTGGATGTTCACATTGTCTCACTTCTAATGTGCAGATCGATTCCTTATTCTTAAAGTCAAGTTATGCAAATATTTCGTACCAAATAATCCCCAACTGAGCCATTGTCAATGTTTTTTTTTTAACTCTATAGCTAATGAACATACCACGTTATTTGAAATTAGGAAATGATTTCAATTTGTTACATTATAAATACTAAAAAGTTACTATAATTTGTATGTTACTTTGTAGATACCTGCCAAGATGGTCCCCAATCAACAAATGCAACTTCCTCAGGAGAAGGAGGTAAATTTATTGAAATTTAATGTTTCTAAGATGTTTAAGTTATTAATACCCATACATATAATAAGTTTTCTGACACTGCAGTAACTTTTAGAGATTGAGAAGCAGATACTTAAAGATAATACAAAAGATATAGATAGAGGTATGATAACCAAACAATCCACTGAAATATAACAATTTGTCAGTGTCTGGTGGAAAAAGCATTAAAAGACTGAAAGTGGGACAATGGTCAATGCCTCAATTATCACAAAGATGATACTTAGAGTTCCCTCAGCCTGCAGCCACATTATATAACTTTTCTCTATGCAAAGTTTTTGGAAAACTGAAAATTTCAAGATTTTGTGTCCCACTAGCTTAAAAGGCAATGGATTATAGCCCATCAGGACCAGAAATTGGCAGACTTTTTGGACTAACTATAGTCAACTTCCATTACTTTGGACATCCTCAGGGGAGAGATTTAGTGTTAGTAATTGCAGGAGTCCTGATAGTGGGGTATGAGAGAAAACAAAATTGTTTTGTCTCTAAGTGTCTGCTATAGAAAGAAAAAACAAGTGAAATGTTGCACTGGGGGGCATGAAGAGTCTGTAATAATGGGGGTATATTTCAGTCATTTCTTTATGTGTTTTGCCACATGGCTGGCTGTTGTTTGCAATGGCAGGGTGTCTGTAATGGCGAGGGCAAGAGTTGACTGTATGTTGCTTTTCCTACATGCAAAATTCCTTGAGACGATTGGTAAGCAGGAAAAGTTGTAGATTTATCAAGTGATACATCCTAACATCCATCAGAAGTATCCTGTATTGGGTCAGCTTGTCAACAAAAACATCTTTTTACAGGTAATTTATTCATCTTGTTTCAGCATCTGAGGCAGCACATCTTAGCCATGAGGCACCTGTTTGCACTGCTGTTGTTACCACTACTTCTGCTCCTCTTCCTGCTTCTGGTGCTGGCACTTCTGTGATCACTGCTACTACGACTGCTACATCTGTGTCTGCTCCTGTCTTTGCTGCTGATACCACTGTTAGTGAGACTCCTGCACCTGTTCCTGCTGTTGCTCCTTACAGTACAGCCACCACCACTGGCATAAATACTATAGTAACTGCAGCACCAGCCCATGCATCTGTGTCTGCTGGTGCAATCACTGTTATGGTGACTGAAGCACCCACCCCTACTCCTGTCCTTACTGTTGTTCCTGGCAGCACAACAGTCACTGCTTCTACCACTTTAACTGTGATTGCTGCATCTGATCTTGATGCAGTCACAACTGCTACTACTAGCACTACTACAGCCATCACAGGGGGAGCTGGCAATGCATATGAAAATTTTTATGGTAAGTAGAGACTAATAATTATCAATCATTGTGGTTATCTAAACAAAGGCTGTGGAGAATTATACACCTCTTTAAATTTAGACAGTTTTTTCAAGCCATGCTAATCAAGAAGGGGCAGCTTATTGTTAAAATCATCCTCTTGGCATGCTGTACCCTTTTTTTAAACTTACTTTTTCTTTTATTAGATTTACAGTCACATTTTGGTCTGGTTTTTAGTTTCAGAAAAACTAGTCCTCCCTGAATATAAGGACCTTTACGAAAAGCTAGTTCGTGCCCTTGATTACTCAGCAAATCGTTGTATAGCTAATTGGGAACATCTGGCCTGTACAGAGGAAGTTAAGGCACCACCATTGGTTCGTCTCAAGTGTAAATTGAGCACAAATTACAGCCACACTCAAATGCTTTTGGAGGTCTTGGCAGTGCGTGAGAATGAGGAAGTTGTTACTGTGACAAAACTGATTGCTGCCTTGAGGAGTATAGGAAGAAATGATATTGTGAAGATGATTACAGATGTCCATTGTGGTATGTTCAATCATTTTTACATGCATTTTTGCTTTTATGCCTGAAGGGCAGTGCTTAGTTGAGGGCAGGGCTTATTTAAGGATGATGTTTATTCAAAAATTGGATGCATCAAATACGTGATCTCTTTTAATTCAGTGGTATATTTTCTATCTGTGCCAAAAAATTTACAGTAACTATAACAGTTGATTATTTGCAGACAGCTATGATAAAAAGGTTTTGTCCCCAATTTTTTGAGGGAAGTGCTTATTCTGTGGAAATGCCTAATTTTGGTCATCATACACATGCATGGTTAACATGTGTAACTGTTTTCTCAGGATTTAAATTTTAGGATTTTTGTAGTTTCATACAAATTGAAAACACTCCAGCTAACCTAAAAAATTAGCGTCATGTGAAACCAAAGGTAAGCTAGTGTGTAAAAGGTCAACTTTCAAATGGGCAAAGCCCATGCAACTCACTGAGTACAAAGATAAGTCAACAATTGCTTAGGAGAATAAAAGTCTCCTCATTAGATTGCTTCCTGGAAAAGCAATTGTGGCTGCTTTCTTGAGGAATTTTTTCACTACTAAGGATGAAAAAAAAATTGATTTAAAAAGTCACTCCACCTAGCCTGGCATGGGCATGGCATGGTCACTCCACCTTTTCCTGGCATGGGGAGAGTGCTATTTACTAATGAGCATTTTTTAGTTCTAAAAACTCCCTAGAATGGCATTAAAGGTTCATGCTAAGGCTTCATTAACTCGTACATTTTAGGAGCTTTGTGTGATTAGAAATTGTCCCTCAGGAAATATAGCCATTCAAAACAAAGGGGTCAACAATTGAACTAGGTATGAAAGGAAAAGGGTTATCACTTAGTTAAATTGAGCCATTGTGCTCAAACTGTGAAGTTTAAACCAAGTTGATCAAATTCATTCTGTCTGCATCAACTAAATTATTATTATACAGTCCTACAATCTATTCTCCTATTACTTTTTGTGAAAACAGAAGCTGAAAGTTCTCCACAGATGCTAAAGGACTTCAAAGACTGTGATTCCAACAACGATTTGCTTGAGCAAATTATCACCAAGCTGGATGATCAGACACAATGGCGTGTTACAAAGCACTGGAGGAATTTGGGCCAGGAATTAAAAGTTTCAAAGAAAAAGTTGGACATGATTGAATTTTGTGCCCCATTTAATCCAACAAAGAGCTTGATGGAGTACCTCCTTGCAGAACAAAATGTTACTGTGAAGAACTTTAAAGAAAAAGTACAGCAAAGAACTGGGCTCTTAGCTGCATTTAAAGCATTAGAACCTTTTCTTAATAGTAAGTTTGTTTTCATGCAACTTATTTATAAATGTATGATACTACAATAAAAAGGGCACTTAATTTTCCCATAAATTAAATACTTACACTATAAAGCTTATTAACACATGAATATTTGATGTTTGTCTTGTAGTCTTTTTGCAGTTGGAGATAATTAAAATTAACGTGTCAGCATGAGCACTGTGGCATTGGAACATTTATTAGCTTAGCTGATTGTTGAATAAAATTGGCATTGAATTCTGAAAAATTTGGTGCCAGGTTATTCTTAATGTGATGAAGAATTTAGTAGTCCCTGTCCAAGCCCTTAATTCACAAATATGATGGTGGAATTGACTTTAAATACAAATTTTAGGGTCATTTCTCCTTGTAATGATTAAAGGGGCTAAAGATGACTGCCCAATCCAGCTCCTGGGCTACAGATCTAAAGGGGGGTAGCATTCATTTACCACTGACCCCTCATATCTCACTTTTCTGTCATTCTTTTTTTTTGGTCATTTTTTGTTTAACTTTTTTCATTTTTTCAATTCACAGTGGGCTGTAATCAGGACAAGCTCATGAAAGATGTGATTGATCTAGATAATGAATATATGGATGCGTTTTATGTTCGTTTGAACAAGATAATTCCAGGAGTTGACAACTGGAGACAATTGGCAACAGCTTTTGGTATTCCTCGTGATATCTACAAAGATTTTGATCCAAAGGAGCCCACGAGCCCCACTAAACAGCTTTTTGAATGGCTGTTTGCTGACAGGACTGAACTCACACTGGATCAGCTTTGTAGTGCTCTTAAATGCATAAAGAGAAATGACTTAGTGGGAGATGTTAGGAAATGCTTTGAACAGTGCTGATCTTCTTCTTAACGCTAAGTTCAATCAGTTTTTTTTTAATCTGCATGTTCTCCATGGCCTGAGTAACTGGATACAGGATTAGGGTGTAGTTGTTATGCAGAGGTAGACTGAGGTATTTTTCAACACCACATTGTTCGAATAGTCAAGCACAGAGTTCTTATAGAGCAGCTTAGGAAGATTGACATCTTTTAAATGTAAATGGACCTTACCATTGCAAAGTACTTTTGACAAAGTCAGTCAAGCTCATAAAACATGAAGATCTTCTTTCCTTAGAGCTTTTGTTTACTTATATATATTTCCATCACCATAATGATGGGCACAATAGAGTGATGGGAATTTGAAGAACCGACTAGTGATGGGTCAGCTCTATGCTTCCCTGAAAAGATTTGGAGTGAATGATGTACATGGCTGGCCAAGGATGTTACAACAAAACTCCCATGATCCAGGAACCACCTCTCTCCATTAAAATTGCTGAGACAAAGTGTAACAGGGGCTATAACAAACATACCATAATGATTTGATTTTGTGTCTAGGGCACTTATTTACTTTGATACCTATAGGGAGGGTGCCTATTTCTTTTCTTGAGAGACTGTAGAACGTGTGAAACAAAGCTTTTATGTTTCTTTGAAAAGGATAAAAAAAACTATAATATGGACTAATATCTTCCCTGGATCCTTCCTCAGTAGAATTATCAGCTGGGCAATCATCACAAAATTTTGAGACAAGATCATTCGTTTAAAGGAACTGTGCTTTTGTGTGGACATAATAGTCAATAGATTAACATGTAGACCACTGTTTTTGTAATCAGATGCATTAAATGAAAAAATGAAAGAAAGATGAACCACACACAGTTGATCTCAATGTATGTGTACTCTCGTAGTTCTATCACTGAAACAGAAGAGGGATGCTTTTTAAAAAAATTTTGCTTATTAGCAAAAACCAAATTTGAAGGTGCACTTATAAGACAGGGGTGCTTCATGCAAGGAGGGTGCTGAATTAAATTATTACAGTGAGTCACTTTACTATGTTTTGCCACACTGTAAGGAAACACCTAATCGCTTATGATTCTTATGACTATAAATTTTACATTCAGTATAACACTTTAGTATAAAGGAATATTTAATTCCTTAATATTCTATACTCTTTATATTTTGTGTTTTTATTTTCTTAATCTTTATTACTACATGCACATATTTACACTGAGGATATGGTTAATGTAGGTATATTTAATGTGTACAGGTGAAGACCCATATAATGTTCATTTGATGAGGATACTGTGAATAAACTATAATTATTATTTTTATTATTTTTATTATTATTATTATTATTATTATTATATTATTTTGACTCATAGTTGATACTGTAAGGAGAAATTAGAACCTAGTCACTCTTAGAGGACAAAAGGTTACAACTCTGACAAGTAATTAATGTGACAAGTCTGTGCCAGACCATTCATGAACTTCCTTTTTAAGTGTTTGAATGAAAAAGTCTTAAATATGAATTTTATATTTTAACATTTGAAATAAAACACGGTCATAGAATGGCCCTACATATTTTTTAGAATTGAGGAATAAAAAATATATTTATATAGATTGTACTGATAAAGGGAAATTTATATCAAAAGGTAACGAAACAAGGAAATCTACGGTCATTTGTATCAGAAAAATACTTAAAAGGAATACCAAAATTGTGATTCTGAATTAGAGCAAAATGAAAGCCCTCCTCCTAGTACAAAGATCATGATGATGTTAGAGGCAGTACTTTGGAATTTCTTCATTTTATTAATTTAGACAGAATTTTACCTGCAATTTTATACTTACACTGCACTTACTGAAACCATGGCCACAGAGACAAAAACCACTTGAATGGCTTTTTAAATATGTGGCAATGTAAAGCTGGCAGATTCTCACTGATGTCAAGCTACAAATGACTCTTTTTTTTTTTAATCAGTCAACCCAGTAATTACTGAATGCAGTGTTCCAGTCTTTCACTTTTTAAACTCCCAAAGCCAGTAAGAATGCAGAAGTACTAAAAGGCAAATGATTTGAATTTTAAAGTCTTTTTAAAATCTCCTTCATCAGTTCTCTCCTCTAATTGGTTTTAAGCTGACTATCTGGGTGGCCTGAATTTCTGTAAGTGTACTTTAGATTGTGCAGTATTAAAGTAGTCAAGTATGGTCTGACAGGCCTGACTAAACAACCTAATCCAGCTGTGCTTAATGGCATTTGTCTATGACAAATAAGTTTACATTCCTTTGCCAAACTTGAAAAAGCATGACTACCAAGTATTGATACATCTCTCTCTACCATACGGTGCCAGAGAGAGACACAAAGTTAATTTTTCTTTTTCTTTTCCTTGCCTTTTTGTGATCTTGTTCAGATTCTTTGACACCTGTTGCAGGTTATGGTAATTATAAAAAATTCATTTTGTTGGTTTTGAAAAGAAAAAAAACTTCAGTTCCCACCACAACCCTTCAGCACCCCTCAGGCTTATACCCAGTCATGATTAAAAAATTTTGTTACTATAGCAGATGTAATATGAGTTATTTCTTCTTATTTATTAAAATTAATTTTCATGGAATAAATAATAATAATAGAAGATCATTTCTATGGCTAAAATCTAATAAAAAAGGTATAACATCTCTATTTGGGTTTTGTTTCTTGGAATACGACTTTATCACAGTGAGAGTATTACTCCTATTTAATTACAAAATAATCTACAACCAACTCAGATGTCTAAACTAGATACTAGATACTGGATTGAAATTGCTCCAAGGAACTTAGTTCATTAACACCCTCTGCCTGCCCAGCTTCATAAGAATACCCATGGTGGTTGATCACAAGTCACCATTCTGAGGAAGCCAAAAATGCCATAATGTTTCATCCATCATTATGCAATTCGAACTGTCTCTAACTTCCTCCACTTTGTCTTGGCAACACTTGCTGGCATATCTCACAGTTACAAGATGAGATCAAAAGCCTTTGAACACATCCAGCTAGGAAAGGAAAACATATGAGACCTTTAAAATTCAACCATCCCTACAAATGTGATTCTAAAATCTTCTTTTTAATTGTAAATGCTTCTGTGAGGACTTGATTCTGTTGATCTTTTCAAAACTAATTATAGAAAATAAGATTGGAAGCCTGTCATGCCAAGCCTAGAATGATGGCCTATAAAACTGACTACCTCACAACTAGCTGGTGGCAGTGGTGGGTCTGTTTGCATATTGACAATCTTTGGCCTATTATGTGTGGTATTAAGCATTCTTTTAAGTGCCTTCTCCTACAAACTTAACCAATACTCCGTCAAGCTCCATCGCTTGTCCTTACTTTATACACAAGATAATTAAGCTGTCAAGAACCTGCAAATGATATAACTGAAACTACTCAGGTTTGGGCCTGTTTTAAGTGGCTTTTGGCCTTGAATGAAGGATCTGGTGTTGCAAACCTGCAGATACTATGTACATGAGTTTAGGCACAGCTGCCAATTTTGCTCTTGACTGGCTTGAGTTAATTTAATTAGTTTCATGTTTTTCACCTGAGTTGCAGGTTTTCAGCTCGGCCTGACATAGCTTGGTTGGTATGAACTAACCTTAGGGAATTGCAGACATTCTATCCTGGATAATGTCATTTTTATCAGATTATTAGCCCTTTAAGCCCTAACCTCAGTATACATATTCTTCATACTGTTCTCAAAATAGTTCCTGAGGGGCTTTCAAGGAGAATTTGTTTCACAATCAAGAACTTCTTTAGATGTTGACCATTTCCTTTATTTTTGTGACCTTAAAGTGTGATTTCTGGGGATGATATTGTAAGGAGAAATTAGATTTTAGTCACTCTTAAAGGTCAAAGGGTGAAGGTCCTTGGCAGATTCCTTCATTGCAGTAAACTCATATGCTGATCTTCCAATGTTCCAGAGCATAGAGCCTTTAATTCATTAGTATTGATTTGTTTTTAGAAACAGGCAAACAAAAACAGACATCAAAATGATCACAGTACAATGTGCAAAACATAATATAATCATGTTATAATTTGCTTCCTATTTAATTCAACCATATCGATAATATCCACATCACTAAAATTCCATACCTGGAAGGTATTCATCCAATAACACAATGACATCAGGTCGGCTAATTTCATGGAGTGCCCATATAAAATCTACAAGGGTTAGACTTGGATTAGAACCTCCAAGACGACGAATCAACGCCTCTGTGGGACTTTGGTTTACCTCCATAGAGGGTAAAAGATCATCCAAAATTTCTTTCTTAATCTTTAATCGGTTTCCAAGATTTCTCAATCCCGAGACTGTGGTAGTGCGATTTATCTGATTGAGTAAGTCACACACCTCTTCCATGACTTCAACATCTGCAACCAACTCTTTTATCACAGAAATTTCTGTAACTACAAGGACAACAATAATCAACATGATCGCCTTAAAATTATTAATAGAAATAAACACAAATCCCACATCACTCTAACTTAAAGTAACAAAAATTTCAAAAGTGAAGAAGTTAACAACAACAATATATATATTGAAACAACACACTAAATTCAAAACTGTCCAATCCTTGCATTTTCCAGTTATTATACAGCCCTTTAGCAGACACATGAAAAGTGATGAGGGTAAAGAGAAAAATCAAATTTTCCAAACTAACATCATACAAATTGTATGGCAGACAGTAAGGAGAATTACTAGTGAGATCTTGGGATTTAAAGGGTTAAAGGTATATAAAAACAAAATCTAAAGAAGCCAAATTGAGAACTCAGAACAAATTGCCTGAGCAGGGGGTATAGACACAAGAGAACAAGTCGTGATTGGTTTGGGTTTTGAATCTGATTACCTGAGAAAGTGGTGGGAGTTTTCTGAGCCAGTCACACAGTGAAGTAAAGCAAAAGCAAAGCATTACTGCTGTTTTGCATTTGACATATTAACTTGAAATTTGCTCCATTCAGAACTTACCCTTGGTGCTCTTTTTAATTGCTTTGATCACATCATGTCTTTTCAAAGCTTTCAGATGATTGATCAATTCACCAATGGTTAATTTGGGGCTTTGAACTTTTACAATTTCAAACACCTTCTCTGTTGGATTGCCAGCAGTGCAATTTTCAAACATCCTGAAAATTCGTCTTGGTATGTTCAATTTAGGAGCCAAATCTGACCATTTTTTAACTCCAGATTTCTGAATATCTAGCAGGTAGGCAAGTTCACCAATGATATCAGGATCAGTGTCGAACAGGCTGGAAACCAATGTTTCATCATTCAGTGCCAATGGAT